CCTAACCAAACTCACTCACTCTATCTGAGTCTGTCTCTCACTCTCACTCTCGTGATTTTCATCTGCACTGTATATACCCACTGATCGACTCTCTCTCTCTCGTCGCAAGATTGACTGATTGACCGATCGACCTCATCGCACACCTCACAAGTAAAGCCCATCTCTGAATCTCAATCTTTCACTATGTCTCTCTCTCCCCGATCTTTGGTTTTTTTTTTTCCCAACATATCAGATCTCTCTGTCTCTGATCTGTCTCCCTCACTCTCTCATCTCACAGTCTCTCACTCTCTAGTTTTGCATCTACACTGATCGACTCTCTCTCATCGCAAAATTGACCGATCGACCAACTCTCTCATCGCACCGATCGACCTCAAAGGTAAGCCTCTCTCTCTCTCTCTCTCTCTCTCTCTCTCTCTCTCTCGCCCGATCTTTGATTTATTTTGCAATATATCAGATCTGTTACTTTTTTTTGTAGCAACAGATCTGTCTGTGTTTGTTTGAAATGTATGTGTTTTTTTTTTAATTTAATTTTTGATTTAATGTATGTGTTAATTTTTGGAATTACATGGAGTATCAGTTCATAAATCTGTCTGTGTCTATATAATTTTTGGAATTAAATCTGTTGAATTAAATGGAGTATCAGTTCATAAATCTGCCTATGTTTGTATAATTTTTGGAATTTTTGATTTAATTTTTGGAATTAAATCTTTTTTTTTTTTTGAATCGGTATTAAAATTGGATCTGTATTGAATCTGTATAGAATTCATATAATTGGATCTGTATTGAAATTGGATCTGTATTGAATCATATAATTGAATCTGTATTAATCTGTTATTGAAATTGAATTTGTTATTGAAATACTATTGAATCTGTATAGAATTTGAAATCTGTTATTGAACCATTATAATTCATATAACACTATTGAATCTATTATAATAACTATTGATGTAAAGGATAGTATTGAATCTGTTATAATACTATTGAATCTATTATTGAAATTGAATTTCTAATTTTTGTAATCCAATTTAAATGGAGGATAGTATTCAATCTCCCGCAATCAATCATGTACCTCTGGAATCCTCTAATTCTCAAATGAATCTCCTCTTAGTCGAACTCGAACCTAAACCTAAGCCTCCTTGACCTCCAAAGAGAAAGAGTGAGGGTGGAGGGGGGAGAGTACCATTCACAATTTGGGATCATTTTGACAAGGTTGTAAGGACCGATGGGAAGCATAGAGCCGTATGTAAATATTGCAAGAAAGAGTATATGGCTGACTCTAGACTTCATGGGACTAGAAATTTGAGGAGTCATACACCCAATTGTAAAAAATATCCAAATAGGGATACAGATGGTCAACAAATATTAAATCTTAAACCGAAACAAAATGAAGATGGTGTTGAGATTGTAGCAACAATTTTTAATTTTGATACTTGTAAAAGGGCTCTTGCGGAGATGGTGGTCATTGATGAGTTGCCATTTAGATTTGTGGAAGGTGTTGGGTTTAGAAGATTTTGTAATGTCATGCAACCCAAATTCACACCAATTTCCTTTCGTCAAACCATATTTAGAGAAGTGCTCAACATATTCAAGAATGATAGGGATAAGTTAAAGAAGGCCATGAAGGGTCATAGAATTTGCTTTACTACGGATACTTGGACATCTATTCAGAATTTGTGTTACATGTGTTTGACTGCTCATTTCATTGATGATAACTGGAAACTTCAAAAAAGAATCATAAATTTTCAACAAGTTGAGGATCACAAAGGAGAAACATTGGGTCAAAAAATTGAGTCGTGTTTGATTGAGTGGAGCATTGATAGCATATTCACCTTAACAGTTGATAATGCTAGTTCTAATAATCTTACCGTTTAATATTTGAAAACGATAACCAAAGATTGGAAGGGGACTATTTTACAAAATGAGTTTATTCATATGCGTTGTTGTGCACATATTCTTAATCTCGTTGTGAGTGATGGGTTGAAAGAAATGGATGATTCTATTGCCAACATTAGACTTGCGGTGAGATATGTGAGGTCTTCGCGTCATAGGCATGATGTTTTTAAGAAGTGTGCGGCCACACTCAAACTTGATTCAAAATCTCTTGTATGCCTAGATGTACCAACTAGGTGAAACTCTACCTATTTGATGTTAGAGGCCGCCGAAAAGTATGAGAAGGCTTTTAACTGATTGAAGTTTATGGATTCCAACTTTGAACCTTATTTCAAGGATGTTGATTGTGGCATAAGAAGTCTGAATGAGTTGGATTAGAAAAAATGTAGAATTTTTTTAAGGTTTCTAAAATTATTTTATGTTGCAACCAAGAAATTTTCGGGGTCTCTCTTTGTTACTTCCAATGCTTTTTACAAAGAGATGTTTGTCATTGAAAGCAAAATTAACCAATTAATTTTGGAGAAGGATGATACTTTGAGCTCAATGGCAAAGACTATGAAGCTAAAGTTTAGCAAGTATTGGGGCGGCCGGTTAACCGGAACAATGATTTTTTTTTTTTGAAATTGCAACCTGTTATTTGAAAATATATATATATATATATATATATATTTGTTTTAGATATTTTTTAAATATAAAAATTACTTTTTTAGATTTTTTATAAAAATAATTTAACGATCTCATTACTAACCAATCTTTAATACTATATTACCAAAAGAGTTTTGAATTGAGTTTTGTGTTGTGTGTTGGGTTATGAGTTTTGAAATTAATTTTTGAATTAAGTTTGTATAATTTTAAGTTATGTATTTGATTATAAATTTTAAAAAGTATTTTGACAGGTGATTCTAGGGGTTGTTTGGAATGTTCTAAATAAGTTTATTTTTTGACTTTTTATGAAATATGAGTTGAGTATGGATTGAGTTTGAAGTGAGAATAGTAATTTTTTGACTTTTTAACTTTTTTAGAAGATGAAAAACAAAATTTATGTTTTTGGCAAAATTTTTTAATTTTTTTTTTTAATTGCATTTTGGTTTTGGATGAATGTAAGTTAATGAATTTTTATTTTATTTTTTTGCATTTTGGATGAATGTAAGTTAATGAAGAATTACTCTTTTTTTTTTTTTTTTTGTATTTGGGTTTGGAATGATGAATGTAGAATTTTCAATGTATGATTTTTTTATTTGGATTATGAATGATGAATGTAGGATGAATGCAAGTTAATGATGAATGTAGATTTTGAATGATTTGTTTAGGTTGCGAATTGAATTTGTTGTGTTTTTTATTTTATAAGTTTTAATTTATTAATTATTAATGTTGGAGCATTTTAGAAATTATGAGGAAAAAGGTCCAAAATAAAGATTGACAAAATGGGAGAAAAAAAAAGGTATGAAAATAAATTTTTGTAAAAAAGTTCAATTCGCAAACTGCCCGCAACCGTCCGCACATCCGCGAACCCTATCTGCACAAACCGCAAACCGCATTGTGGGCAGTTGCTGGTTGACTTTTTCCCAAACCGCATAAATACGGGCAGGTCCAAACCGAACCGCAAACCGTCCCAAACCGAACCGTGAACACCCCTACCTAAAATACACCCGTGACTATAGACTGTATTATACTAGATATTCAGCAGTCCTAGAAGGGTATCGCGACGCTAATTGGATATATGACACTAACGATTCTAAATCCACAAGTAGATATGTCTTTACCTTGGGAGGTGGAGCGGTCTCTTGAAAATCTTCTAATTAGACTTGTATAGCTAGATCCACAAATGAATCTAAATTTATTGCTTTAGACAAAGCAAAAGAAGAAGCAGAATGACTTCCAAATTTCTTAGAAGATAATCCAATATGGCTAAAAGCTATGCCAGCGATTTGCATTCATTGCGATAATCAAACTGCAATGGCTAGGGCACATAATCATATATATAACGGGAAGTCTTGTCACATTCGTCTTGTCACATTCGCTGTAGACATAACACTGTTAGGCAACTGCTCTCTAATGGAATAATTTCCATTGAGTTTATAAAGTCAAAAGAAAACATTAGCAGATCCGTTGACAAAGGCTTTGACCAAAGAGCAAGTGTTGCGATCATCGAGGGGAATGAGATTAAAGCCTGTCACTTAAGAGTTATCTTAATGAAAACCCAACCTAATTGATTGGAGATCCCAAAATCTAAGTTCAAAGGAACAACCAAATTAAGAATGACTCATTAGAACCACTAAGGAGTAAAACTCCTACCCATTTCTATGATGAAATAGTGATTATCAGTAGCAATAAATAAGTTAAGCTTTGATTTTAATGAGACTCATAGTTTGGAAATTCAAGTGGGGTATAGCATGATACTTTTAATGGGAATCACCTATGTGAGTGTGAACTGGGTCGGTTTATAAAAATTGAAAAGGCTAAATTCTCTAGAACACTTATGAATTCAAGAATTGTCTAGAGCCAAAATAGACACAACCGATAGAATCAAGTTGTGTATGAAAATAAAACTGTGTGATAGGCTATTGTCTCGGTTTACACCAACAGCAGAACAATTCAATACATCATATTCACTAATCAACCAGTAAATCCGATAGTCTTTTATAAGGGAAGGTTCAAGATCAAAAGCTACCTATCCTATGTAGGATATTTCTAGATTTGTATTCACATAGTCTACATGTTGTTGCATTTCTCATTATGTCAATTTCATTCACGTGGGGAATTGTTGGAAAATTTATAAAGGCATCAGTGAATTGAAATCAACTCCATTTGAATGAAAGGGTGCAACCCTTCATTTAAAGAAAAGGATGTAATCCTTTCATGGTGTTTTTTTATTTTAATGAAGGGTCATGTCCTTTTTTCTATATAAAGGTAGCCCCCATTCCAATTTTTTTCATTCCAACTTCCTCAAGTTCAAGCATTCCTCTTGTATTCTTCATCTACGTGAGTTTGAATTTTGTGAGTGTAAAATATAATTTTGGTTCACAGTACAATCAAAGAGTGTGCTCTCTTCGTTTGTGGTGATTGTTGTATCCTAGAGACAGTACATCCATTATTCTCAAGCACCATTGAAGAAGCTGAAATTATGTCTTAAAGACACAATGTTCATACATTGGCCTCAATCACAAATTTGTTCATAAACTATCTATAGAAGTACTATAAGGTTTAATTTTGTTGTTTACTTTATTTTTTTATTTGCTTTAATTAATTATTATTGAAATTATCTCCCACACATCTTTCCCATCTCCATTTCTGGAGTGGTTTGTTGGCCTCCGCTGCTCGAACCAGATGGATACAATCCATATTCGCTAGTTAGTGCACTGTGCTCGTTGCTTCCATACTCTTTGGTTCCCAGAGCCATCTTCCTAAATTTTTTCATGTCCTCATTGTATTGGTTAGTGTCATAGTCTGAGCTGCCATGAGAACTGTAGATTGTGTTGTGTCCGGGTTTGATTCCTTCGTTAAGATCAGACAAAGATATGTCTCCTTCGAAGGCCCGCACTACCTGCACAATTCGAGTTATGCTTATCGATTAGGAGTTAGCTCACATATAGCACATCTAAGTTAAGAAGCAAGAATCTTGCAGGCTATGGACATACTGACACATCAACATCAAAAAAATATAGGACATAACATGTGGTGGACATGCACAAAATATATGATCTTATATATTTATTATATATCACATATATGAATATTTCATTCCAACATAATAAAAAATACAACATAATATTAATTCCTTAATTTAAAAAGAGCAGGGACTAATACGTATAAATTTATATTGTTTTTCTTATGTCATTGTATCCTTTAAGTTATTTTGTTCAAATATATGTTTCATCATGTGTGTCCGACGAATGTCAAGAAGTGTCAAATGAGCATCAGCGTCGGACAAGAACATGCAACTTAGAATTGTTCGTGCTTCTTAGGTAACACGCCATGGGGCTCAAGTAGGGTTGTGCAAAATACCGCCCAATCCACTAAAACCGCACTGATCTACATCAATCCGCACCGCTCTAACCACTAACCGCGGTTTAAACTTTAAAATTTATAATCCGCCAATCGCTCCGCTCCGCTATAGTAATACATATATATTTTTTAACCTCCAATGAAATATCAATGTAAAAATGAGTGTGAGAGATATTAAAGATATGAAATTTATTACAAATTAGTAGTTATATATATGAAACATATTATGTAAAATTACTTTGTGTTATATATCTAAAAAATGTTATACAAATTAGTATTATATATTATGCAAATATATGATAATTAGTTAGAATATTCTTTAATCCGCCAACCTGCCAAAAACCGCTCAAACAGCAATTTGTCAATCTGCTACTCCGCCAACCCGCCATTCGGTTTGTAATTTTACCCTTAAACCACCCGAACCACACCGCGCACACCCTTAGGTTCAAGTGTTATGGTGCAAGATACACCAACCTTGGGAAGCAGAATCAAATTATTTGAAATTTGTAGATTAGATCATTCATAGCTTTGTGTGTTTTAAAGGTCTCAACCAAGACAATGCATTAAATTCCGGGCCTGACTTCCACTTGCAAGTGACGTAAGTAGTATGGAATGGAAAAATTTATAATTGAAGAACCATTCCACAATATCGAAATGCCACACTGGATTCATAACTTGTTGACTCCATTAGGATCAACCAATTTGCATAAGATATAGGAATTGTTTAGCTTGACTATATTGCAAATAGGAAAATGTTTAGGACCCCCACAAAGGAGGACCCCCACGGCCTCCACTGATGTATTGACCATTGATGTTTTTGAATTTTGTTTCCCTATCTCTGACAATGACATGAATGGTCCAGATCATTTTTGGGGTTGTGTTTTGTAGGGGTTTTTATCATGGCTGTTGCAAAATAAACCCAAAATCTTACTTGGCTCATTCGTGGTCGACACCGTGCTGAATGACGCACACAAGCAGCAGCACAACCAACCATACGAGCCATCTCGTTGGGTCTGTAATCCCTTTGCAACCGTGGATCAACAAGCGTATCAAAGTTTCCATCTTCCAAAGCTCGTGTGAGCAAGGGCCGTGCCTACAACAAAGATAATTTTGTTAGACTTAGAAAAAAAACCAAAAAATGTGAAAAGTAAATCAAACAAAATAAAAGCCTTTTATTAGAGTGGAAAGAGATTTAGTGGTTTTGATGTAATTGCTCACCCAGTCTACCAAGCTATCATCTGCGTAAGATTGAGATGAGTTAATAGGTCGACGTCCAGTAATTAACTCTAGAAGCACGACTCCGAATGAGAAAACATCAGACTTGTCTGTAAGTTTCCCAGAAGAAGCATATTCTGGAGCCAGGTATCTAGAAGTGGTGAGCTTATTATTAGAATGTGAATGATATTTTAATAAGAACTAGTGTAGAAAACATTGTAATACCTTTGTCATTATCAAAATGGAATGAGAAATTGAATCTTGGAAATGAAAACAGAGCATCCAGAATGAGATAACAATAACTGAATCAATTATTGACAGAAGCAACTGAAAAGTTCCCATCACCCAAAAGAATTAAATTATTGACAATCAATTATTAGAAACTTGGACATAAGAGGTATAGACCTTACCCAAAAGTTCCCATCACCCTGGTGGATATGTGAGTGTTGACATCAGAAGAAAGCTTTGCAAGTCCAAAATCCGCAACCTGAGAAGAGCATAAAAAATGTCAGGTTACAGACTTCATGACAACAATCACCACTAATATGAAGTTTGGACAACCCAATCAGTGGTTTGAAATTTTTTGTTTGTCACTTGTGATTAAAAATATTTGTTCCACTCCTTGCACCTCATAACTGACAAAATCTCACCAAACATTTCACATCCAGAAAGGGGGAAAAACTCTGTTTTTCTTGGATTTATTATGACGAACTTCAAAGATGCAAATTGAAATTTAATGATTCTCGACCCATGCCTACAAGGAAATCCTACCATTGCCTCAAAGTTAAAATCCAGAAGTATGTTAGCTGCCTTAATGTCACGATGTATAATCTTAGGATGGCCTGCAAATAAAAAAAATTCAATTAAAAAAATATATTAACCCCAGTATCATATGCTAAAGAGTCGCTTCTAGCTTCTAAAACCAGAAGCAAGTATATGTATGAAGAGAACTTACAGTCCTCGTGCAGATAAGCCAGTCCTTTAGCAGACCCTAGAGCAATTCTCAATCTTGTGGACCAATCCATGGTAGGTCTTCCCTTTCCTGAAACGTTTTATTTTCTATATCAGAATCAATTTTACCAGAAGCATCCAGCATCAGCTCAACAGGTTCTTGGACAATAAAGCATATGTAGGACTCATAACTTGAAGTACATTTGGCGACTAGAGTTCATTAATATTCTATTGTTTATTGAGAAGGATTGTTCAGAAAATATACATGCAAATTTAAAAGTAAGAACCACTAAACAATAATAACCAGCAGACTTGAAAATTTAACCAACCCCTTAGGCCCTTACCATACCCAAAAATTAAAAAAAAATATATATATATATATATATTTGTAAAAGCAACAGTAGATAGAAAATCAGATAAGCATGAAGATAAAGTAGTTGCCTCTGTAATTTAGTAATGAAAGCTAAAAAATGAACTTATCAAGTCTAAACGCTCTTTCAAGTTAAGATAAGAATTTGAAATAAACCAAATCTTTAAAATAAAAACTTTGCTAGTCATGATGTCTTTTAGATCTAAAACTTAATATACCTAAACCTCCATAAAGAGGGCATTGAAAATAAGAAAAACATTAAACCTATTGAAATAATTAAAATTACACATATTCTACAGAGAAAATACGTGTATACTTAAAATTATTTAGATCATAAATGAAAAAAGGAAAAAAAATCAAAATTAACATCAAGGAACAAAATGAAAAATTTGCAACATACCACTTTGTGAGAACTGGAAAATCCTCTCACATTGATTGTTGAAGTTATCCAACGAAGAGATGAGCTTGAATCTTGTAGATCTGCAAAGATGGACATAGTCTACGCCATCTAACTGGGGTTGCTGGCCGGGGACGCTCTGATGGTAAAGTTAGCAACTTGAATCTGAGAAGGAGATGAAGGATGTTGTGTATGCTATGTTGCAAAGATAAGGCATACCTCTATTTCTTGGGGTGTCTTCCTTTTATAGATGGAGGTGTAATATTTACTTGATGGGCTTCCTTGTTTGGGCTGGGCCCATTGTTAGGACTTGTTTGAGTCATCCCCAATAAGCTAGTATTTTTTTTGGGCTCCCACAATTGCCCTAAAACGTTCATTGTCTATGGCAGAAGGTATGAGAGTTTTTGTTGCTGAGCTACGCTGTTCAAATAAATGTTAGGTTTCTTGATAAAAAACACTTTATAAATGAATAAAATGGATGAATAAATGAATGACCGTATGAATGCATGTATGCGTGAATATATGTATAAATATATGATGGTGCTTCGTGCCAAGCACAGAAAGCGCTCCAAATTTGGAGGCTTTCATCAATGGCGCTCCATATAGAGCACGAAGATTGCTCCCGTATTTAGAGTCTTTTGTTGATTGCGCTCTGTGCCGAACACAAAGATTGCTCCGTACTCGGCGTCTTTTGTTGATGATGCTTCATACTGAGCATGAAAATTGCTCCGTATTTGGAGTCTTTTGTTAATGGCACTTCGTGCAGAGCACGAGGATTGCTCCGTATTCAAAGTCTTTTGTTGATTGTAAATAACGATCAATTTCAGACATTGCAAGGTTTTTAAATAGTACATCCCGTGTCATTGATTGCATGTACCAAATGATATAGGCTTGTTAATCACAAATAAGCGGAAATTTGAAAAAATGACCATGGTAGAGCATTAAAAAATAGCATTGCTCTGTTGTAAGGAATTGCTGAGTGGATATTGGAAGCAGATTGAAGCAGATTTTTTAAGTTGCTTTTTTGCTTTTTTTTCTCTAACGTATATATCCCTCATTGCTTTCAAAATGATAAACGTTAGTCAGAAGGAATTTAGATTGGACTTTGGCCAACATTGTCGAAGAGGAAGCAGATAACAAAATGTTGAAGCAAAGTCCGTGCCCTAGTGCTCTCAAATGAAAGTTGTTATTTGGAAGGAATGCCTAATGGATTCACGCCAAAATTGTCGAGAACAAATTGTTGAAGCGGATTCCTTGCCCCAGTGCTTTCGAATGATAGGTGTTATTTGAAAGGAATTCATCATTTGGTGACGAATGATTCGGGCTATGATATAGGCAGAAAGTCGCTGAATAAGTTGTAGTGGTTGAATTTAGCATTGAGCAAACTCTAGGCATGAGAAAAAAATGATGTTTAAGGTACGACATATAGCACTGCATATAAAATCTATAAATTTTTGGTATGGAATTTGCAAAACTAGACCGTATGGATGTGTTCAAAAGGCTCCAAATAGTTGGAAACGACTATTGGGTCGTTGTAATTGGACTCCTGATGGCGTAATTTTAGCCAAAATAGATTTGACAGCTCAGATTGGTAAAGAATTGGGCTCTGCGAAGCACTGGATAATTTCTCTGACATATGTTGCATTGGACGGCTTGGCTCGGGGGCTCGTGGCTTGGCTCGATAGTGGCTTGGCTTGGTGGCTTTGGCAAAAAAACAAACGTAAGTTGTTGCCGACGAGACTTGAACCCTCACCCTTGTGAAGAAGGGATAAGACTAAACCGTTGTGTTACAATAGATCCTAATGTTGTATTTGGCAAGATATATATTTGAACTTGATTGTAGTGCAGCTAGTACTGGATATAACGTAGCCGTAATGCACTGAATAATTTCTTATGTTGGCCAACGCCGGTCGTTTTCTCTGACGAAAGTGAAATTGCTTGGCAAACTTCAACGGGCTCATACGACTCCGTTTGAGCTCCGATTTTGACGCGGTTAATTGTCTTGGACTCGTCTTAATGAGTACTTCATACTGGAATGGTTAAAACTTGATTTCGACAACTGCAAAAATGTCAATGTGCTGAAAATTTGGTCCGTTTCGCAACCATCGGCGAACTTTGATTAAATTTTGGCTATTTTAGTTGGTGAGTTTGGACTCCTCTAGTCGACACGAACCTTCTGATTGGCCAAGTAATTCCTATTGTCTTGCCAAAAAATTGTTCGCATAAACCCAATTTGTAGAGAGAGAAAATGGACACGTAAACGCAGTTGGTGACGCTTTGCCTAGCCTAAACATTTGGTTCTCAGCATTGTAGCTGACATGATTAAAAACGTATGCATTGCTCGTGATGGTTATCATTGCCGATGAGCTTGACGACGGAGTTGTAGCGCTGAGTGTTGGAAAACACACTGCTTTGTGCGAATTTGATAATCGGTGGATAGTTCCATTGCTAGAAAAATGAGTCTTGCTGGATAGCGATATTGCTGAGTGACCTATGTGGTTCTACCAATCTTAATGTAGTCGAGCGGATGTGGTGAGCGCCAGTTCTACATGCGCTCGGTGGCACTTGTTCGGTATTGTCATCTTTTCGGCATTATAGTTCAGAAATTGGTAAGACATGGTTTGAGTACTGAATTGATACATGGGGGCAGAGGTTGTCATTGAATGGCCGGTTAACGCGGAATAGTTGTCGAGTAATGCAAAGATCCATGCGTGGACATGCCGAGTAGCCTTCTACAAGTTGTGTCGCCACTTGACTGGGTTACAGAGATACGGAGTTGTGTTGCAACGATGTTGGGCAGCTTGGGTGAGTTGTAGTGATGCCGAGAAGGGTTGAAGAACGGCCGAACAACCTTGTTGGATTGCCAAACAACCTTTGTTGAAAAACCTGTGAGTAAACCCAACTAATTCCATGGAAAACCAAGGAACTTGAGTGGCATGCCGAGTAATTGGTGCCAAAACACCTGGGTCCGTCTCATTTATAATGTGACTTTGTTGAGAGCTTAGTCGACAACACTTAGGTCTGCAATTGTGCCAATCTTTTGGTCGGCACCTTGTCTCAACTATTGTACCAAGATATCTATAAAACTATATCACGCAAAATTTTTAATGAAGTGCACAGCTTTATGTAAACAATGAAGTCATGAAATTACATTAGAGAAATAGAGGGAAATAGAATGAAAAGCTTAAGGAAATATCATGAGCCATTCATGATATATCTATATATATATTGTTGTCCAATGGTAGTGTCATCGTTGGGCTTTATTGACGTAAGTCGACTCTTCGATTTTGCCGAGTAAGCGTAATTGTGATAGTCGGATTTTGAGTGTGAGCTTATGATCGCAACAATATTGTTGATGACACGGCAAGCTTGTGTAGACGCGCCCTTGGGCTTCATGCTACTACAGTTCGGACTCAATGTCACGGTTCTTAATCTGATCTTGCAAAGTGCAATGTAAGACTGATAAATCACCAAAGAGTCCAAATCTGGCAAATCGTTTTGAAAAATTGATTTTTAAGAAAGAAGTGTCAAACATGGACTGCTTTGCCAGATACAGAGCCGCCACCTAAATATTTTATTTTTGGGAAATTTAGGAAACCCTAACTCGTGCCTAAGGCCACGTGTCCGTCATCACCAAAGTTGCCTCGGCTCGGGAACTTGGGTACGATTGGGGAAGGTCATCTATGAGCACCCCCGCTCGCTCGATTGAAGATCGACATGTACTAAGCATGATATTTTGTTTTGAAAACATATGCGTTCTTATTCCGGTTATTAGCCTAAAAAATTTACTATGTGATGCGCACAACACACAAGTATAGACCGGATCGCCTAAATTGGAACAAAACATTTCGTGTTTGTTTATTTGAAAATGGTTTGATAGTGCTACTCGCAAGTAGGCTAAGACGTGAATTTGCCACCCTCGAGTGGGCTTAAGAAAACCTGATTTTGCCACTCTCAAGTGGGCTTAAAACTCGCATTTCAATGAATTGTTCAAATTCAAGTAATCTAACCTTCACCCACAAGCATTCAGGCAATTATATCATATAAGCAGTTAGCCTCATGGCAAGCATGCGGTCATGGCAACACTCACACACATGCAAGGATGCTAAAGCATAAAAGCTTACCTAGTACTCCGAGCCAAAACAACAACTAGTTAGTAATCAATGCATGATCCTAGTTTATGTTAAGATGGCTAATGCAACGCATGCAAAATGCAACTAGAAATAGGCTCGGCTATTCTAAGATGGCATGTGAAATGCAATAATCGATACATGTATTCAACTTGCTATTGAAATACAATGCAGTTTGTATGATGCGCCGAGCCGGTGCATGCAATACGAATGAATGGATGCAAACATGCGAAGCATAAGTATGCTAATTGAAACATGCCCTAATCTAACCATCAAAAGCAGGTAAGTAAAAGGGATAAAGACGTGGGGTTGGAAGACATTCACACACGCACACACACTTATTACAAATTCGCCCTCTCGACGGAGGGTCCGAAAGAATAATACAAATCAACTAACTAATCAACTAACAAGCTAATTAATTAATTACGCAACCAAATCGAAACAAATAACTAGTCTAAGTTATTAAAACGCTGAAATGGCCTCGTGGTGAGGGATGCATGTGTGCTCGGACGGCTTCGCTCGGAAATCCGTTGCCATGTTACATGTTGCCTCTGTTTGCACTGCTCTGCTCCTCTGAAAACTGCACAAGTCTCAAGGATGCTTCTGAACCACCTTGTGGGCATGCTGTAAGGCCACCAGCCAAAAGATGAGGCCATCGGCTAAAGTAAACTGGTCATCAACCAAAAATAGGGCTCTCGGCCAAATATTTGTTGCCGATCGGCACTGAACATGGTCGATCGACCATCTATTCCTGCAGAATGCTATGTTGTTGCAGCAGAGGACAAACAAAGCATGGCAATACATTTGCAAGACAATGTTTGCACGACTACCCTCCCTATCATGTCATGAACTCAAAGGAGTATAGCCCTCGACCCTCGGACCACCAATCACGCATTTCAATACATGATGGCCAAAGGAGCCAAGTGTGCAATTCAATATCAAATGAAATGCACAAAAACACATAAAAGCCTCCAATCTCTATCATGTGTGATCAAGAGGCAAGGGATGCATGTATAATGTTACGCAACCTAGGCATGCAAGCAAGCTAATGCAACATGAGCATGTAAACAAGCAATGTGCAATAGGCATACAACCTAAACAAGTAAACATGCAAGGCATGTAACAACAATGCCAATGACAAACATGCAACATGTGAGGCAAACATGTGACAACATGTAAAGGGACAAGTATATTTAGACCAATGCAATACATGCATGATGAACTTTAACAAAGTAGCATAATCATGCAAGCATTACAATGTAATAGGCATGCAACAACAATACCAATGATAAGCATGCAACAACATGTAATGAGACTAGCATGCAAACATGCGAAGCAACTTAACAAAAATCATGCCAAATGCAAAATAACTCAAGCATGCAACAACATGCAATAGGGTTAGCATGCAACAACATGCAACATACTATCATGTAACAACATGTAATATACTAAGTATGCAACAAGCATGTGACAACATGCAAGGCAAACATGTAACAACATGCAAAGATGGACTTAAACTAATATGGGCAGCTCTCAAATGCGCCCAAATCAGTGGCCAAGATGCTAAGAAATGAGGGACAAAAGCATATGCAAACATGCATTCTAATTGGCCTACAGACTAAGGCATAAAAGGCAACTTTCAAGAACACTTAAAAGGAATGAAAAACATGCAAATGTGATAACATTACATGCTCTGAAATAATGCTAGGAGTGATGCCAAATCACATAGACAAATCATGATCATAGCATGCACAAGGCTTAAAGCCTGAGATTAGTGAGGGGACTTGAACCAAAGCTACACAAGACAAAGAGCATATGGCAAGCATAACCTAAAACAGTCCTAAGGCATACCAAAGTGAGCCTAAAACATGCAATGACCAAAGCCAAAACAAGCTAAAACGAAGGGGCCAAAACATGAGACATGCAAGACTACAAAAGAGGTGTTACTCTACACCTACCAAAGCCAAACATGGCATGACTTAAGCAACCAAAAACAGAGTTATGACAAGTCAAAATGATCCCAAAAACCCACTTAGATGGCATCCCAAATGCCTAAACATGGTGGCATACATAATGACACATTCACGAGGCATAACGTATCGACTCTTTAAAGCATTAAAGAAGTTACAAGTGCAAGCATATGAGCATACTATATGGACTGAAATAGCATAACAAGTGGTGCCAAACCACTGAAATGGTCGAAATAAAGCATGTCAAAGGATTCAAAACTCAAAGCCTATAAGCTAGATTACATGGTGGCTATACAAAGCAAGTCATGGACGATCAAAATGACCAAAATCAGAGCTTTAGCATGTTAAAACAAAGCTAGAAGGTTCATGAAGTTGAGCCAAAATCATGCTAAAAAGACATGTTACAACATGGTGCATGTTAAGGCAAATCATAGGATTACAAGACAAGTATAGAAAGCATGCATGGTATGTCTAAACCAACTTGAAACATAGATGTATTAGGGCAAAACAAAGCCTAATACACACTGAAATAAAGCTAAAACAAGCTAAGTATGCAAGCCACAAACACAAGCCATTCATGTAAGCATTCAAGACAACAAGGAGATGGGATGACCCTCTCCTATCCCCTCTCCTATTTAAGACCTTAAAACACCATCCCCACCACTGAAATCTCTCTGGATTTCAGTGGTGAGAAGGCCTAAACAAGGTGATCTCAAAGCTTAAAAATAAAGCACAAGAACAAGACCAAGCAAGGCCTAAGAGGGGGGAAACAACCCCAAACACAAAAATGACCTTAAACAAAGGTCTTAAACACTAAAAATCATAACTTTTATCAGTTATAAACTAAGCTTAAAACAATAAGCAAGATAGGCTAAAAGCTTAAGCAAGAAAGGGGTATCTAAAGTAAGGAACTCACCCTTGTAAAACCTCTTCAAGAACAAAGCTCCAGTAGGTTTCTCTGATCAAGAATAGCTCAAGAACCCTAATAACAACCCTCTAATACCTCAGTAACCCAAGGATGGTGTAATGCTAGGTGTTCAAGTGCAAAAGTAAGACAAAAACTCACTTTTGAAGCTCAAAAATGGAGAAACAAGGCAAGATAAATACAAGGCTATATCTATCTTTTCTAAGGCAAATTTCTGAACCCCTGAGGAGGAAGGAGGAGCTCTATCTTTATAGAAGTTCAATAACAAAGCTTCCAAAGCAAGCTAAACCAATAGGCAAATCCCTCCATACACGTCTATGGAGGGGAGCAAATGTGCATGCCAGCTAATCCAGCTGGCATAAAATATCTGCATAAAGCAGATGAACAGGGTTCGGCCAGCAAAAATGGCCGATCGACTAACACAATAGCCGGCCGACCAAAAACAGTGCCGATCGGCCAATGCAGTTGACCGATGGAAAGAAAACAGGGCCGGTGGCCTCAAGCCTTGGCCAGTGGGTTGAGGGCATGGCAAACAAGCCTCCCTCTTCCATTAGAAGCAAAAACACAAGTGTTTGGTTCACAACCAAGCACAAAATAGACAAGTTGAGAGATCTTGAGGCAAGGCGCGTAGCCAAGACCTCCGAGAACTCAAAACAAACACGAGCATGGATGATCATCGAGTATTCAAACAATGACGTCCAAGTCTTGAGGATGGTCAAAAATGGAGTGTCTACAGCTTGTTATGGGTGTCGATCAATATCTTCCAGGAATGTAGGGGCTTTTCGATGTACCGGAACTCTTGGTCAGTGACTTCTCTTAGCTTCACAGTGTGCCGAAACACTTGGTCGGCATCTCTTTTTATTTGGCTTTGTTAAGAACTTGGTTGGTAATGGTTGACAGCTCATCTTGGCTCTTTGATTTACCGAAACACTTGGTCGGCGACGCCACCTTTGGCTCACCAAACATTAAAGATTGCTGATAATAGTGTGAGAAAGAGTGAGCCGTGATCGGCGTATAACATCTTGTTTGTGAGCCGAACAAACAAGTCACCAAGAAAAAGGTATTGTTGCTGAGTTTGATGGTCAACCCTAGGGCTGGGCATAGGGTCATCCGAACCGCCCAAACCGCCCTACCTGATCCGAACTGCGCATGTATGGGCGGTTTCGCAAACACATTAGGGTAGGGTACGGTTTGGATTTTATGTAAATTTCGGGTTGCGGGCGGGTTGCGGGTTTGACCCGCACCCACCCAACCCGTCCACATAAAACTCTTTTTTTTTTTTTTTTAAATCTGATCTGAACCGTTCAAAATTACCTCTTTTTTGCCCCTTTAAATCTGATCGTCCAAAACAAAGAAAACCCTAACCTAATCAAACCTACTCACACTCACTCATCACTCATTCATCAGAACTGTATCTATCTCCTCTCTTCCTCTCGGTCTCTCTCTCACTCTCACTCGCGATTTTCATCTGTGCACTCACTCAGCGATCGAATCTCTCTCTCACAAGATCGACCGATCGATCGACCTCATCGCACACAGGTAAAGCCCCTCTCTCTGATCTCTGTCTATGTTTCTCTCTCCCCGATCTTCGGTTTTTTCGAACATATAAGATCTGTCTATCTCTGACTCTGATCTGTCTCCCTCACTATCTCATCTCCCTCACTCTCTCTTCTCAGTCTCTTACTCTCTGGTTTTGCATCCACACCGATCGGCTCTCTCTCACAGGTAAGCCTCTCTCTCTCTCTCTCTCTCTCTCGCCCCGATCTCTGTCTGTGTTTGTTTGTTTGGAATGTATAATCTTTGATTTAATTTTTGATTTAAGCAACAGATTTTTTGATTTAAATCTGTCTGTGTTGAATTTGTATAGATCTGTCTGTGTTGATTAAATTTGTCTGTGTTGATTTAGATCTGTCTGTGTTGATTTAAATCTGTCTGTGTTGGTTTACACTTTTGGAATTCATAGATCTGTTTGCAACTTCATAGATCTGTTTGGAATTCAATCTGTTATTAAAAAAAATTCTGTTTTTTGGAATTAATTTTTGATTAAATCTGTTGAATTTTAGGGAATTTTAAATTTGTCTGTTTTTAGGGAATTTTAATCAAAAACTGAATTTTAATAAAAAACGACTAAAAGTGCATTTTAGCCTATAAATGCCTACCAAGTTGTATTTTAAAGTGCATTTTAGTAGTCATAATGCTGGCCTATAAATGCCTACCAAGTTGTATTTTAAAGTGCATTTTAGTAGTCATAATGCTGATATTGTGGACAAGTTTTCATCCTTAAAGTGCATGTAAATACATGGCCATTTTAAGTTTCTGTGATCACTTTTTTTTATATATGTAATACATAAATTATGATGATGATTCCAACTCCTGTAATGTCTTTCTTCTAGAAGGTGAACTTTTTCCTTTTAATGCATTGCAGTTGCATAACTGCACAGCCTGTTTGAATTTAATATGATATCCAGATTGCCTAATTATATACCTTCAACTTTTCAAAAGTCTTCTTGATAGTTTGTGTTATGTGCAAGGAAGAAGAGTTAATCCAGTCTTCTTGATAGTCTTCTTGATAGTTTGTGTTTGTGTTAGCCTATAAAAACTGATTTACATGTGATTTACATGTAAAATTGAGTTTTAGGGAATTTTTGATTAAATCTGTTGCATTAATCTGTTTGATTGAATTAAAATTGAATCCTTAACTATTTTTGTAATCCAGTTTAAATGGAGGATAGTATTCAATCTCCCGCAATCAATCTTGTACCTCCGGAATCCTCTAATTCTCAAATGAATCCCCTCTTAGTCGAACCCGAACCTGAACCTAAGCCTCCTAGACCCCCAAAGAGAAAGAGTGAGGGTGGAGGGGGGAGAACACCATCCACAGTTTGGGATCATTTTGACAAGGTTGTAGGGACCGATGGGAAGCGTAGAGCCGTATGTAAATATTGTAAGAAAGAGTATATGGCTGACTCTAGACTTCATGGGACTAGCAATTTGAGGAGTCATACACCCAATTGTAAAGAATATCCAAATAGGGATACAGATGGTCAACAAACATTAAATCTTAAACCGAAACAAAATGAAGAGGGTGTTGAGGTTGTAGCAACAATTTTTAATTTTGATACTTGTAAAAGGGCTCTTGCGGAGATGGTTGTCATTGATGAGTTACCATTTAGATTTGTGGAGGGTGTTGGGTTTAGAAGATTTTGTAATGTCATGCAACCCAAATTCACACCAATTCCCTCTCGTCAAACCATATCTAGAGAAGTGCTCAACATATTCAAGAATGAAAGGGATAAGTTAAAGAAGGCCATGAAGGGTCGTAGAATTTGCTTTACTACAGACACTTGGACATCTATTCAGAATTTGTGTTACATGTGTTTGATAGCTCATTTCATTGATGATAACTGGAAACTTCAAAAAAGAATCATAAATTTTCAACAAGTTGAGGATCACAAAGGAGAAACATTGTAGAGACGAAATAATTTTGTCACGTTTAATTGAGTGGAACATTGATAGCATTTCACCTTAACAGTTGATAATGCTAGTTCTAATAATCTTACCATTCAATATTTGAAAACAATGACCAAAGATTGGAAGGGGACTATTTTGCAACATGAGTTTATTCATATGTGTTGTTGTGCACATATTCTTAATCTTGTTGTGAGTGATGGGTTGAAAGAAATGGACGATTCTACTGCCAACATTAGACTTGCTTTGAGATATGTGAGGTCTTCTCCTCAAAGGCATGATGTTTTTAAGCAATGTGCGGCCACACTCAAACTTGATTCAAAAGCTCTTGTATGCCTAGATGTACCAACTAGGTGGAACTCTACCTATTTGATGTTAGAGGCCGCCGAAAAGTATGAGAAGGCTTTTAACCGATTGAAGTTTGTGGATTCCAACTTTGAACCTTATTTCATTGATGTTGATGGTGGCATAAGAAGAAGTCCGAATGAGTTGGATTGGAAAAAGTGTAGAATTTTTTTGAGGTTTCTAAAATTATTTTATGTTGCAACTAAGAAATTTTCGGGGTCTCTCTTTGTTACTTCCAATGCTTTTTACAAAGAGATGTTTGTTATTGAAAGCAAAATTAATCAATTAATTTTGGAGGAGGATGATACTTTGAGCACAATGGCAAAGACTATGAAGCTAAAGTTTAGCAAGTATTGGGGGGATGGAAGCAAAATCAATTTGTTGTTGTATGTTGCGGTGGTTCTTGATCCTACCAAAAAAATGACATACTTGGAGTTTTGTTTTTCCAATTTATTTCTTGGAGATAATAGGAAGGTGGAAGAGATGGTTGACAAGGTTAAGAGTTGTTTGAGTCGTTTGTATAGCCATTATGTCACACTTTATCCTTCAAATGAGAAATTTCCAAGTGTGAGTGAAGTTGTGAATATGGTGGAAGATGATGATGATGATGATCTCTATTCTTTAGTTGACTCCCAATTTAATTTCTATTTGGAGGGGCGATGCACTAGTGGATCTAAGTCGGAATTGGAACAATATTTATCCGAGATTGAACATTTTGCAAAGAATCAAACATTTGAGATTTTGGATTATTGGAAGTTGAATGCAACCAAATATAGGGTGTTATCACAACTTGCTAGGGATGTGTTGGCCATGCCTATTTCTACCGTTGCATCGGAGTCGGCTTTTAGTACTGGAGGACGTATTCTTGACCCATTTCGTAGTTCACTCTCGCCTTCTATGGTTGAAGCTCTTGTATGTACTCAAAATTGGCTTCGAAGCAACCTTCTAATTTCTCTTCGAAAGGCGATGGATGATGCGGAAGAATTTGAGCAATATGACTCGGGTAATATGAGAATTTATTTATCTTCATTTTTATTTGTATTGTTCAATGAATGATGTGGAAGAATTTGAGCAATATGACTCGGGTAAATAAGAATTTATTTATCTTTATTTTAATTTGTATTATTATTTATTTTCTAATGTAAGTTTTATTAATCTTCTCTTCTTGACTTCTAATTAGGTACTTTGGAGTCAAGCTCATCTTCAACTTCAACCTATAATGTTGATGCTATAATTGATGTCTAATATCAATTTACTCATTGGTAATTTTTTCATATCAACACATTTTCTTACTATATTGAGATGCAATATATAGACATTTGTTTATTTTTTCATTTCTTACTATCTATAATTGAAGATTAAAGTTTATATTTTTTCAATTTGTTTGTGTAGGGTTCATCAACCAAATGCATGGAATTAGAATTGGAATTTGCAAAAGTTGAATTGGATGTGATTCATGAAGATGAAGTTTGATATCTTAGAAGTGTTTTAATTTTATTTCATGGGTTTGTATTGAATGAAGTTTAAGTTTGACAACAATTTTTTTTTTTTTAATTGTGTTTTGGTTTTGGATGAATGTAACTTAATGAATTTTTATTTTTTTTTGCATTTTGGATGAATGTAAGTTAATTAATGAAGAATTACTCTTCTTTTTCTTTTTTTTTGGGAGGTTAGGAATAATGAATGTGAATTTTTAATGTAAGATTGGAATGATGAATGTTGAATTTTTAATGTAAAATTTTCTTATTTGGATTATGAATGATGAATGTAGGATAGGATGAATGTTTTATAAGTTTTAATTTATTAATTATTAATGTTGGAGCATTTTAGAAATTATGAGGAAAAAGGTCCAAAATAAAGATTGACAAAATGGGAGAAAAAAAAAGATATGAAAATAAATTTTTGTAAAAAAGTTCAATTCGCAAACCGCCCGCAACCGTCCGCACATCCGCGAACCCTATCTGCACAAACCGCAAACCGCATTGTGGGCAGTTGCTGGTTGACTTTTTCCCAAACCGCATAAATACGGGCGGGTCCAAACCGAACCGCAAACCGTCCCAAACCGAACCGTGAACACCCCTACCTAAAATACACCCGTGACTATAGACTGTATTATACTAGATATTCAGCAGTCCTAGAAGGGTATCGCGACGCTAAATGGATATATGACATTAACGATTCTAAATCCACAAGTAGATATGTCTTTACCTTGGGAGGTGGAGCGGTCTCTTGAAAATCTTCTAATTAGACTTGTATAGCTAGATCCACAAATGAATCTAAATTTATTGCTTTAGACAAAGCAAAAGAAGAAGCAGAATGACTTCCAAATTTCTTAGAAGATAATCCAATATGGCTAAAAGTTATGCCAGCGATTTGCATTCATTGCGATAATCAAACTGCAATGGCTAGGGCACATAATCATATATATAACGGGAAGTCTTGTCACATTCGCTGTAGACATAACACTGTTAGGCAACTGCTCTCTAATGGAATAATTTCCATTGAGTTTATAAAGTCAAAAAAAAACATTAGCAGATCCGTTGACAAAGGCTTTGACCAAAGAGCAAGTGTTGCGATCATCGAGGGGAATGAGATTAAAGCCTGTCACTTAAGAGTTATCTTAATGAAAACCCAACCTAATTGATTGGAGATCTCAAAATCTAAGTTCAAAGGAACAACCAAATTAAGAATGACTCATTAGAACCACTAAGGAGTAAAACTCCTACCCATTTCTATGATGAAATAGTGATTATCAGTAGCAATAAATAAGTTAAGCTTTGATTTTAATGAGACTCATAGTTTGGAAATTCAAGTGGGGTATAGCATGATACTTTTAATGGGAATCACCTATGTGAGTGTGAACTGGGTCGGTTTATAAAAATTGAAAAGGCTAAATTCTCTAGAAAACTTATGAATTCAAGAATTGTCTAGAGCCAAAATAGACACAATCGATAGAATCAAGTTGTGTATGAAAATAAAACTGTGTGATAGGCTATTGTCTCGGTTTACACCAACAGCAGAACAATTCAATACATCATATTCACTAATCAACCAGTAAATCCGATAGTCTTTTATAAGGGAAGGTTCAAGATCAAAAGCTACCTATCCTATGTAGGATATTTCTAGATTTGTATTCACATAGTCTACATGTTGTTGCATTTCTCATTATGTCAATTTCATTCATGTGGGGAATTGTTGGAAAATTTATAAAGGCATCAGTGAATTGAAATCAACTCCATTTGAATGAAAGGGTGCAACCCTTCATTTAAATAAAAGGATGTAATCCTTTCATGGTGTTTTTTTATTTTAATGAAGGGTCATGTCCTTTTTTTGTGCCTTTTCTGTTCAAACTTAACAGGTACCAACAAGCCTATATAAAGGTAGCCCCCATTCCAATTTTTTTCATTCCAACTTCCTCAAGTTCAAGCATTCCTCTTGTATTCTTCATCTGCGTGAGTTTGAATTTTGTGAGTGTAAAATATAATTTTGGTTCACAGTACAATCAAAGAGTGTGCTCTCTTCGTTTGTGGTGATTGTTGTATCCTAGAGACAGTACATCCATTATTCTCAAGCACCATTGAAGAAGCTGAAATTATGTCTTAAAGACACAATGTTCATACATTGGCCTCAATCACAAATTTGTTCATAAACTATCTATAGAAGTACTATAAGGTTTAATTTTGTTGTTTACTTTATTTTTTTATTTGCTTTAATTAATTATTATTGAAATTATCTCCCACACATCTTTCCCATCTCCATTTCTGGAGTGGTTTGTTGGCCTCCGCTGCTCGAACCAGATGGATACAATCCATATTCGCTAGTTAGTGCACTGTGCTCGTTGCTTCCATACTCTTTGGTTCCCAGAGCCATCTTCCTAAATTTTTTCATGTCCTCATTGTATTGGTTAGTGTCATAGTCTGAGCTGCCATGAGAACTGTAGATTGTGTTGTGTCCGGGTTTGATTCCTTCGTTAAGATCAGACAAAGATATGTCTCCTTCGAAGGCCCGCACTACCTGCACAATTCGAGTTATGCTTATCGATTAGGAGTTAGCTCACATATAGCACATCTAAGTTAAGAAGCAACCGTCCGCACATCCGCGAACCCTATCTGCACAAACCGCAAACCGCATTGTGGGCAGTTGCCGGTTGACTTTTTCCCAAACCGCATAAATACGGGCGGGTCCAAACCGAACCGCAAACCGTCCCAAACCTAACCGTGAACACCCCTACCTAAAATACACCCGTGACTATAGACTGTATTATACTAGATATTCAGCAGTCCTAGAAGGGTATCGCGACGCTAATTGGATATATGACACTAACGATTCTAAATCCACAAGTAGATATGTCTTTACCTTGGGAGGTGGAGCGGTCTCTTGAAAATCTTCTAATTAGACTTGTATAGCTAGATCCACAAATGAATCTAAATTTATTGCTTTAGACAAAGCAAAAGAAGAAGCAGAATGACTTCCAAATTTCTTAGAAGATAATCCAATATGGCTAAAAGCTATGCCAGCGATTTGCATTCATTGCGATAATCAAACTGCAATGGCTAGGGCACATAATCATATATATAACGGGAAGTCTTGTCACATTCGTCTTGTCACATTCGTTGTAGACATAACACTGTTAGGCAACTGCTCTCTAATGGAATAATTTCCATTGAGTTTATAAAGTCAAAAGAAAACATTAGCAGATCCGTTGACAAAGGCTTTGACCAAAGAGCAAGTGTTGCGATCATCGAGGGGAATGAGATTAAAGCATGTCACTTAAGAGTTATCTTAATGAAAACCCAACCTAATTGATTGGAGATCCCAAAATCTAAGTTCAAAGGAACAACCAAATTAAGAATGACTCATTAGAACCACTAAGGAATAAAACTCCTACCCATTTCTATGATGAAATAGTGATTATCAGTAGCAATAAATAAGTTAAGCTTTGATTTTAATGAGACTCATAGTTTGGAAATTCAAGTGGGGTATAGCATGATACTTTTAATGGGAATCACCTATGTGAGTGTGAACTGGGTCGGTTTATAAAAATTGAAAAGGCTAAATTCTCTAGAACACTTATGAATTCAAGAATTGTCTAGAGCCAAAATAGACACAACCGATAGAATCAAGTTGTGTATGAAAATAAAACTGTGTGATAGGCTATTGTCTCGGTTTACACCAACAGCAGAACAATTCAATACATCATATTCACTAATCAACCAGTAAATCCGATAGTCTTTTATAAGGGAAGGTTCAAGATCAAAAGCTACCTATCCTATGTAGGATATTTCTAGATTTGTATTCACATAGTCTACATGTTGTTGCATTTCTCATTATGTCAATTTCATTCATGTGGGGAATTGTTGGAAAATTTATAAAGGCATCAGTGAATTGAAATCAACTCCATTTGAATGAAAGGGTGCAACCCTTCATTTAAATAAAAGGATGTAATCCTTTCATGGTGTTTTTTTATTTTAATGAAGGGTCATGTCCTTTTTTTGTGCCTTTTCTGTTCAAACTTAACAGGTACCAACAAGCCTATATAAAGGTAGCCCCCATTCCAATTTTTTTCATTCCAACTTCCTCAAGTTCAAGCATTCCTCTTGTATTCTTCATCTGCGTGAGTTTGAATTTTGTGAGTGTAAAATATAATTTTGGTTCACAGTACAATCAAAGAGTGTGCTCTCTTCGTTTGTGGTGATTGTTGTATCCTAGAGACAGTACATCCATTATTCTCAAGCACCATTGAAGAAGCTGAAATTATGTCTTAAAGACACAATGTTCATACATTGGCCTCAATCACAAATTTGTTCATAAACTATCTATAGAAGTACTATAAGGTTTAATTTTGTTGTTTACTTTATTTTTTTATTTGCTTTAATTAATTATTATTGAAATTATCTCCCACACATCTTTCCCATCTCCATTTCTGGAGTGGTTTGTTGGCCTCCGCTGCTCGAACCAGATGGATACAATCCATATTCGCTAGTTAGTGCACTGTGCTCGTTGCTTCCATACTCTTTGGTTCCCAGAGCCATCTTCCTAAATTTTTTCATGTCCTCATTGTATTGGTTAGTGTCATAGTCTGAGCTGCCATGAGAACTGTAGATTGTGTTGTGTCCGGGTTTGATTCCTTCGTTAAGATCAGACAAAGATATGTCTCCTTCGAAGGCCCGCACTACCTGCACAATTCGAGTTATGCTTATCGATTAGGAGTTAGCTCACATATAGCACATCTAAGTTAAGAAGCAAGAATCTTGCAGCCTATGGACATACTGACACATCAACATCAAAAAAATATAGGACATGACATGTGGTGGACATGCACAAAATATATGATCTTATATATTTATTATATATCACATATATGAATATTTCATTCCAACATAATAAAAAATACAACATAATATTAATTCCTTAATTTAAAAAGAGCAGGGACTAATACGTATAAATTTATATTGTTTTTCTTATGTCATTGTATCCTTTAAGTTATTTTGTTCAAATATATGTTTCATCATGTGTGTCCAACGAATGTCAAGAAGTGTCAAATGAGCATCAGCGTCGGACAAGAACACGCAACTTAGAATTGTTCGTGCTTCTTAGGTAACACGCCATGGGGCTCAAGTAGGGTTGTGCAAAATACCGCCCAATCCGCTAAAACCGCACTGATCTGCATCAATCCGCACCGCTCTAACCACTAACCGCGGTTTAAACTTTAAAATTTATAATCCGCCAATCGCTCCGCTCCGCTATAGTAATACATATATATTTTTTAACCTCCAATGAAATATCAATGTAAAAATGAGTGTGAGAGATATTTAAGATATGAAATTTATTACAAATTAGTAGTTATATATATGAAACATATTATGTAAAATTACTTTGTGTTATATATCTAAAAAATGTTATACAAATTAGTATTATATATTATGCAAATATATGATAATTAGTTAGAATATTCTTTAATCTGCCAACCCGCCAAAAACCGCTCAAAAAGCAATTTGTCAATCTGCTAATTCGCCAACCCGCCATTCGGTTTGTAATTTTACCCTTAAACCACCCGAACCACACCGCGCACACCCTTAAGCTCAAGTGTTATAGTTCAAGATACACCAACCTTGGGAAGCAGAATCAAATTATTTGAAATTTGTAGATTAGATCATTCATAGCTTTGTGTGTTTTAAAGGTCTCAACCAAGACAATGCATTAAATTCCAGGCCTAACTTCCACTTGCAAGTGACGTAAGTAGTATGGAATGGTAAAATTTATAATTGAAGAACCATTCCACAATATCGAAATGCCACACTGGATTCATAACTTGTTGGCTCCATTAGGATCAACCAATTTGCATAAGATATAGGAATTGTTTAGCTTGACTATATTGCAAATAGGAAAATGTTTAGGACCCCCACGGCCCCCACTGATGTATTGACCATTGATGTTTTTGAATTTTGTTTCCCTATCTCTGACAATGACATGAATGGTCCAGATCATTTTTGGGGTTGTGTTTTGTAGGGGTTTTTATCATGGCTGTTGCAAAATAAACCCAAAATCTTACTTGGCTCATTCGTGGTCGACACCGTGCTGAATGACGCACACAAGCAGCAGCACAACCAACCATACGAGCCATCTCGTTGGGTCTGTAATCCCTTTGCAACCGTGGATCAACAAGCGTATCAAAGTTTCCATCTTCCAAAGCTCGTGTGAGCAAGGGCCGTGCCTACAACAAAGATAATTTTGTTAGACTTAGAAAAAAAACCAAAAAATAAATAAAACAAAATAAAAGCCTTTCATCAGAGTGGAAAGAGATTTAGTGGTTTTGATGTAATTGCTCACCCAGTCTACCAAGCTATCATCTACGTAAGATTGAGATGAGTTAACAGGTCGACGTCCAGTAATTAACTCTAGAAGCACGACTCCGAATGAGAAAACATCAGACTTGTCTGTAAGTTTCCCAGAAGAAGCATATTCCGGAGCCAGGTATCTAGAAGTGGTGAGCTTATTATTAGAATGTGAATGATATTTTAATAAGAACTAGTGTAGAAAACATTGTAATACCTTTGTCATTATCAAAATGGAATGAGAAATTGAATCTTGGAAATGAAAACAGAGCATCCAGAATGAGATAACAATAACTGAATCAATTATTGACAGAAGCAACTGAAAAGTTCCCATCACCCAAAAGAATTAAATTATTGACAATCAATTATTAGAAACTTGGACATAAGAGGTATAGACCTTACCCAAAAGTTCCCATCACCCTGGTGGATATGTGAGTGTTGACATCAGAAGAAAGCTTTGCAAGTCCAAAATCCGCAACCTGAGAAGAGCATAAAAAATGTCAGGTTACAGACTTCATGACAACAATCACCACTAATATGAAGTTTGGACAACCCAATCAGTGGTTTGAAATTTTTTGTTTGTCACTTGTGATTAAAAATATTTGTTCCACTCCTTGCACCTCATAACTGACAAAATCTCACCAAACATTTCACATCCAGAAAGGGGGAAAAACTCTGTTTTTCTTGGATTTATTATGACGAACTTCAAAGATGCAAATTGAAATTTAATGATTCTCGACCCATGCCTACAAGGAAATCCTACCATTGCCTCAAAGTTAAAATCCAGAAGTATGTTAGCTGCCTTAATGTCACGATGTATAATCTTAGGATGGCCTGCAAATAAAAAAAATTCAATTAAAAAAATATATTAACCCCAGTATCATATGCTAAAGAGTCGCTTCTAGCTTCTAAAACCAGAAGCAAGTATATGTATGAAGAGAACTTACAGTCCTCGTGCAGATAAGCCAGTCCTTTAGCAGACCCTAGAGCAATTCTCAATCTTGTGGACCAATCCATGGTAGGTCTTCCCTTTCCTGAAACGTTTTATTTTCTATATCAGAATCAATTTTACCAGAAGCATCCAGCATCAGCTCAACAGGTTCTTGGACAATAAAGCATATGTAGGACTCATAACTTGAAGTACATTTGGCGACTAGAGTTCATTAATATTCTATTGTTTATTGAGAAGGATTGTTCAGAAAATATACATGCAAATTTAAAAGTAAGAACCACTAAACAATAATAACCAGCAGACTTGAAAATTTAACCAACCCCTTAGGCCCTTACCATACCCAAAAATTAAAAAAAAATATATATATATATATATATTTGTAAAAGCAACAGTAGATAGAAAATCAGATAAGCATGAAGATAAAGTAGTTGCCTCTGTAATTTAGTAATGAAAAGAACACTCGCCATGTAAGTGAAACTCCATGGTGTTGTTCGGAACAAACTCGTAAACTAGCATTCTTTGGGACCCGGTGATACAGTACCCAACTAATGAAACAAGATGTTTGTGATGCACTCTGCTAATGATCTCAACCTCAGCTTGAAATTCACGCTCCCCCTGACCACTTCCAGCTTTCAGCTGCTTAACGGCGACTTCTTTTCCATTTGGAAGGACTCCCTTGTGCACATACCCAAAACCACCTTGTCCAAGGAAGTTGGCTTCTGAAAATCCATCCGTTGCCATTGCCAATTCATCATACGAGAATGTGCTCTTTGCAAAACCTAAAGACATGGCAGGGGAAAGTGGTGGCAATGAGTTTTCACCGCCTGAATGATTGGACCCAGAACCACCACTGCTCATTAATTATGGTTTTGAAAAAAAAAAAAAAAAGAAGAAGAAGTAACAAAATCATCCAATTTTGTCCATTTAATAGGTAAAATATTAAAGTACGCATATTATGCTTCTTGAAGCCTTCACCAAAATCATAAATTCTGATAAACATGACAAGTGTTTCACCAGACGCAGCAGTTTTATTTATAATTATTTATATATATATTTTATAATAAAAAGGGAATTTTGATCAAATCTCTCAAAA